GAGAGAGGGAGAGTGGCGGAGGAGGAAAAGGGGAGAGAAGGCAAGGCCTTCCTCCCTGGTACCTGGTTGGGTAGCTATGGCGCTGCAGCAGGCGGACGTAGGCCGCGGGCTGGGCCGGTGGCTGGTGCTGCTCTAGCTGCTGCGCTAAGTCCTCCTCGCCACTGTGCTTGATCTCTCCGCGCTGCTCACACCAACGCTGCTGCGCTGCGCTAATCCTGAAGACTAACCTCCTCTCTACTAACCTACTGACTGAGGCTGGTACCCAGCTGATATGGTGCTGGGTCGGCCTCAGTCCTACTGAGGTCCTTCGGGTCTGAACTGTTGATCAGGCCCAACGGTTCAGATCCGATTTCGGATCTGAAACTGCGCGCCAAACCTGCGCCACCGGCTGGGCCTACCGATGAACCGGTACCTGGCCTAAACTAGCCGTTGGGTCTGGTGGGGTCTAAACGAGGTCTACTGGACCCTAAACTGAACCGTCGGGTCCTAGGCCTACCTGGACCTAAACTGGGCCATCGTGACCTGTTCCTAGGCCTAAACTGAGCCTATTTCAGAACCGGGCCCTAACTGGGGCCCGTGTGGTATCAGTATGCCACACACTCCCCCCCTTGAAGACCGAGCTAACTGCGAGGGCGAAGCTGTCTGCCCGATGTCCGTACGGGGCAGGCAGGTTGGGCAGCTTCCTTAGCAAGTCGCTGTTTTTCGTAATGCGCGAAGATGAGGGGTGTTGTCACCTTCAGGTCAGCTCGTGAAATCCAGCGTGCGTCGTCGGGATGGCATTGCTTGAATGTAACTTTGTACTGCATTGGCTTGTTGCCGTGCTTGCGATGAGCGAGGACGCGCTCGACCTCCTGATGACCATCCATTGAAGGAGGGGCCTGTGACCGTCTTCCCGGGAAGTCCGCTGGGGAGGCTGGAGTGTAGACCGCCAGCTTTGAAGCGTGAAATACCGGGTGGACCGTCAAATGCGAGGGAATCTCGATAATGAAAGATGGACCCGCGGGGTCGTCGCCACCTGCTGAAGTAACCGTCCATGGACCAAACCACTTCGGGAGGAGTTTGTGCGAGGCATGCTGCTCGAGCGCGAATTCCTCGGAGGTGACCCAAACCAGGTCGCCAGCGTGGATTGGACATGGGATGCGACGCAAGTTCGCTTGCTGCTGCATATGGACCTGAGCCTTTTGCATGTTTGCGCGGGCTTTGGCCAGCAGTTCCCTGTACTTCCGTGTAGAAGTGGGGGAGCAAGCGGCGTCGATATCGGCAGCCGTGGAAGCAAAATGTCTGCGAAGATACATCCTTTTCGTCCACCATGATGCAACTCGAATGGAGTCACGCCAATCGTCGGGTGCACCAAAGTGTTGTAGGCGAACTCGATGTCGGGAAGGCGGTCAACCCAGTCCTTCTGATCCGGGCGGATGAGTGTGTTGAGCATCATCTACGCAGTCTGGTGCGCACGTTCCGTTTGCCCATCCGTTTGAGGATGTCGTGCGGAACTCGGTTTCATGCTGGTGCCAGATTCCACCAGGAGTGTCGTCCAAAAGGCAGACATGAAACGAGTGTCGCGATCGCTGACGATGTCTTCCGGAACGCCGTGGCTGCCAACCAGCCGGTATGCAAAAGTCGTGCGAGCTCGGGAGTCGTTGCATGATACTTGCATGGAAGATATCAAGCGTACTTGCTCAAACGGTCAACGATCGTGAGAATACCATCATGGCCAAGGCGATCGCGAGGGAAAGGACTGGTCACATCCATAGCAATGGAAAAACCTGGTTCCCGAGGAATCGCCAATGGTTTCTGTTCGTCGTAGGGGAGCTGATGGCGCCCTTTGTTCCGATGGCAAACTGCGCATGACTGAATGTGCCGGTTGGAGTCCCTGATGATGTCCGGCCAATGAAATTGTTGGCGAAGTCGTGCTAATGTGCGTGCGACGCCAAGGTGTCCCGCCAGCCATGAATCGTGGTATTTGCCGAGGAGGCGAGTGCGCAAGATCCGGTCTCGGGGAACACACAACAACTCCTTGCCTCGTGTATGAAGAAGCAAGTAGCCATCGACAATGCGGTAATTGCTTGCCGGCGGTTGACCCGATGATAAGTCCGCATAAAGTGTGGAGAATCCCGGATCCGACTTGTAGTCGTTTACGAAATGTAGTTGCAGGTCCTCGTTGAGGCCGAATGTGGAGTGCACCAAGGCGCAAAGATCAGGTCTTCGTGAGAGAGCATCCGCTGCCTTGAAGCGTCCGTAGTCACTTTGGTAGGCAAGGTCGGGTCAAAGATGCTTAAGACGGGAGCTTGGAGCAAAGCCGTCTTCGGCGTAGGGAATGCGTGCCGAGCTTTGTCGTTGAACTCGGAGGGCACCAAGGGGGACTGAAGTCGCAACAATGGTGCAGCAATCCGTTGAAAACCTTTGACGAAGCGCATGTACTATGATGCTAAGCCAAGAAAGGAGCGGACGTCGGTAGTACACTTGAGGTCCGACCAATCTTGAATGGCATGTACTTTGTCAGTGAACGGACGAATGCCTTGCGGTGTAATGTAATGGCCCAAGTACTCCAGCTCTTTGTTACATGCCCTGTTGGGCGATGTACATACAAAACCGAGGATCCGCAATGTGATAAAAAGGACTGATTGGACAATGCAGTGCAAGTAGAATCTCAACCAGCAGTGTGCATTCCGATACATACAAAATGGTGCTTTATAGTGCAGGGAAGACTTAGATACAAGACCTGACCTGATCGGGACTGACCCCTTTCACGTAGTACAAGATAGCGAAGCAGAATGTTAGAATACTAATGACTAGCCCAATCAATGTTTCAACGCAGACCAAACATACATCATGCTCATCACAAGGTGTGAACGAGCCTGGCGCTATACACAGGAAGGAAGCGCTAGGTCCAGACATACACAGACGAAGAGGAGGGGATCAGACGAAGAAGAGGGGGAGAGATGGGAATGTCATCAACACCAAGTCTTTGTCACAAGTCCCAAATAATCCCTCGTCGAAATATCTGAAGCCCAAAAATCGAGTCTGGATCCAAATGTCACCAAGCTCTCTCTTTCTCTCCTAGTCTGCTGATGCAGTGAAGTCAGATAATGAGAGGGTGAGAGGGAGATGGTGGACTTAGAAGAGGAAGAAGAAGCACCCTCTCTCTCTCACGTGCCAGGTACTAACCTGTGAAGTTGGCGCTGTGCTGCAGGTACCTCGAAGACGAAGCTGGAGCTATGGCGCTGCAGGTAAGTCTCCCTGGCCTCCGCCCGATCTCTCTCTCTCTAGTACTACTCTAGCTCCTATGGCGCCCAGCGCTGAAGACTACTGCTACGCTACTAGCGCCCATCGCTGAAGGCTAATGCTAACGCTACTACTACTACTACTGCAGCGCTCCTCCAGAGTGCTGCTGCCGAATCCTGAAGACTACTGACTGCCTCCTGCCTACTCGTGAAGTGCATGGGAAGTCACTATGTACCACCTCGGCCTGCCTCTTGACTGCCTCCGACTGCCTGCACTTGCAGGGCGGGGAGTCCAGGAGGCTGCTCTTGCCAATGCCGAACTGAGGGACGCAAGGCCTGGTTTTCAGGCTTTCAGCCTGAGGGACGCATGGCCTGGAAAATGGCCCTCGTGTGCAGGCGCAGCATGTAACATCTTGCTGGGCAAACTCGCACTTGTCGCGGTTCCCCTTGCACTTAGTGATACGGAGCCGCTCCAAAACGGCGCGAAGGTGCTCGTCCAGCGACCGACTATAAACCAAGATATCATCAAGGTAAATAAGTACGGTGCGGTCGAGCAGGTCGCCGAATTCCGTCGTCATAGCCGCTTGGAAAGTAGTCGAGGCATTGGTGAGACCGAAAAGCATGACGATCCACTCAAAGTGCCCATACCGCGTCTTGAATGTGTCCCCGAGAGTGATCCCATGGCATATGGGCCGTTCCGGTACGACTCCGAGGGAGCTTGGAAGACATCCTCATAGCTGTCCAAAAGCTCAATGATGCGTGGGTCCGATGTGTCCGTCTTGGGATGATCACCGGGTGGGAGGGCGTGAAGAAAACATATGCCCATCTCCTCGATGTCGTTCCATCGGATGGATTGGCAAATGCTCACCCCGGAGACCACGTGACAACCAATCGAAGGATGAGGAAGCGACACTGTACACGGGACTAGTTCGCCACACCGATCACAAACATGAACGGTGCGTCGATAAAAGTTCACCGGTTGGTCTTCGCTTTGCAACCACGACATGCCTAAGATCATATCGAACTTAGTGTCCAAAATGTCGAATGACACGGCCTCGCATGCTAGCAGGGCAAAGTACACGGGCACAGAGTCAACGCAACGGTCGATTGACTTTTGCGTGTGACCATCGACCAACGTGACGTGCGTGGCCTGACTTTTCCTTCGAACGCACCGGGCTAGGCCATGAAGTCTTGGCTGATGTAGTTGCGAGACGCTCCACAATCGATCAAGGCACTGCAGCTCGCCTTTCGGATCTAACGCGGATGTAGAGGAGCGGCGCGTCGATGTCGACGTACCGTTGCGTTGCGTGCTCGCGGTCGAACTTCGCAAGATAGTTACGAAGGTCAACAACCGCTACTCCGCCGTCCGTCGACAGAGGTGGTACTGCAGCGTGCAAGTATTCGCGCAAATGTGCCATCAAGGCGTTGCAATGCGGTGTTGGCAAAAAACCGGTGGAGGGAAGAGGCAACCATTGGAAGTCCTCAACCATCAACGGGTCGAGTTCCTCAAGACTCGCCCAAGTTGACGGATCCTCCCACAGAAGGGCTGGCGAAGCAACCGGTTCGTTGGACGACGGCGGAACTACCACGCATGCGCTTGAATCTTGCATGTGGAGAGGCTGGTTCAACGGTGGGACCAGCTCGACAGCATAGTTCTCAAACTCAATACGAGAACTTGCGACTGCCGCGGTGTCCCCGGACGTGAGAGAGACTGCTAGCAAGGCAGCCGAGTCCGACGGACTGGGAAGTGATGTCGCTGCACTTCCCCCAGTGCTCAGTTTCCCGAGCCCGGACGCTTGACATTTTCCTTGTCCTTGTCGAGGCATGCGCTAGTGACGTGTTTGGTGCTGTTGCACCATAAACAGCATGCCCATTTCTGCCTTAGCTTGAACATGTCTTCGGTGATACCGAACTTCGTCCATGGTGACTGTCGTGCTTCATCCGCCGACGCTGTTTTCACCTTATGTTTTCCCCCTCGGGGTCTTGAGCGTTGCGGTGGTATCATTGCCGCCACATCTCCGTCACTTGATGTTGAAACGGCTGCGAGGTCCTCACTTGATCCTTGCTGGATTGCCGCTACTTGCGGCGTCTGACCTTTGCCTTTCTCCACGTAACCGGGCTGTTGGCGGGCCTCGTTGGCCGCGCGCCAGTTACCTTGGATTAGTTCTCTTGCCTTTGAGATCATGTCATCAAAGGTCTTATACTGGCATCCGCTGCCCAGAAAAGTTGTCAAGGCGTCGCAAGACCGAGCGACAAATTCGGCCCCGATTGCGTCGAACGGTAAGTTCAACTCCGAGGTGGCAATGAGTCTTTGCCACTCCGTCAGCCACTCCCGTGAAGGTTGCTGGCCTTGAAACATGCGGAAGATCTTGTTCAAGACGTGACGCTTGTCGTTGTTGACCATGAACTGGGTCTTCCACTTCTTCTTGAATTCCTCCCACGTAATCTTGGTGTGGAGGGTGGCGATGGTGCATTCCAACGTGACGGCCATGTGTGTCATGAAAGCCTGCGCCGCTCCAATGAGTTGGAGGTAAAGTGCGTCAAGCCTCCGCGTTGAAAGCCATCCACCATTGCAACGGATCGGTCTTGAAGTTTGGCATCTTCCATTCCTTGGCAACAACGGCCGGTCGTTGCTGAACGCGGTCGCTGAGCATCTGCAGCTGATTGCTGATTGTCGAGGCTCCAGCAAACTTGCTGATGTTGCCGAGGGATGCTACCATGTGGTTGATCCGCTCCTCGAGTTGCGTAGCCTGGGCGGCCAAAGCTGGGCTGCAGTCTGCTACTGCACTGCCCGTCGATGCAGCTGCCGACAGCCGTGCCAACCCTGTGCTGACATCGGTCTGCAGCTGGCCGTTGATTGTCTGCTGCTAGCTGTTGGCGGCCTGTAGTGTGCTGATCTCGGCCTGCAGGGTAGCGATCTTCTTGTCCAGTGTTCTAAACGTTGTTTCGTGGCGGATGAAGACCTACCGCATGGCCAGCACTTCACGTTGCTGCCAATTGCACGTGTACAGCAGATTCTCCATCAAAAATGTTGCAGCGTCCTTGTTTCTCTCTTCCTCGGTCGGCTCCTCTTGTTCTTCGTTTGCTCGCAAGTGCTGTTGTCGAAGTATCCTCCGGTACGTGGTTTCTTCGTTGGCGAGCTCCATTGTAGCTTGGTAACGAACTTGGTTCTGACTTGCCTCGACCTGCTGCTGTTGCAACCGTGCGGCTGCTGCAGCTTCTGCTGCGGCCTGCTGACGTGCTGCCTCTGCCTCTGCCAGCTGGCGTTGGATTTCCTGCTGGCGGGCAGCTTCCTCCTCCTCCCACTTGCTTAGTTCAGCTGCAGTGGTCTCCAAGTAAAACTGGAGGCGTTTGAGAAAAGCTAGTAGTGCTTCACCTGCCTGTTGAACTAGTATAGGAGGGGTAACCGGCCTCTTGGGCCTGGCTTGTGCATTGTCGTCAGCGGTAGCAGCCATGGTCGTGCGTCGCCTGCACGGGATCCGAGGTGTCTTAGGTCCCTGTTGGGGCTTGGTTCCTGTGGATCCGCGCTCTGCAAGTCGTTGACTGCGACGCATTAAGTACTCTGGTCTTCATCTGCTGCTGACGTGTCACCGCTGAGGTGGCACCTGCTGATGTGGCACTGCTGAGGTGGCTGCTGCTGACTGGGGACTTGGCTGTCCTGGCACGCTGAGGTGGCATGCGGCTGATGTGGCAATCTGCGTTTGTGGCCCTCTGCTGATGTGGCACAATGCTGACGTGGCCGGAGACTGACGTCCGTAGTACCGAGAGGAGGAGAGAGAGAGGGATGAGTGGAAGAAGGGCAGGGAGGCAAACAATGCACAGACCGTCCCTTTCTTTCCTGACCTCGAAGCTTGACACTAATCAAGAGAAAAAAATTCCCCCCCCTGTGAAAATTTCGAATTTTGAGAAATTAAATATTTAAATATTTAATTAAATAAAATTTAATCGAAAAATATGAGTTAATTGAATAATTTTTATTTTGGCAAAAGATTAAATATTTAATTAAACCACCACTACCTCCTCCAGTGTTTAGAAATTACGTTGTCCTGGCCAGTACCAGTAGTTTTCGGGGTTCGGACACAGGGTCGGCGATGTCCCAAAAATCGTATTTTTCTTTTGCCCGTGCACGAAAGAAAATTGAAAAAAAAGGTCTTTGTACTGCAATGATGTCGGGCAGGGTAGTCCAGGAGGCCGTGCTCACAGAGTTGAATGCATCTTACAACTAAGACGGTAACATTCCGAACTTGTTGTTTTCTTTTTTTTATTTCTCTTTTGTTTGTTATGTGCCCCCTGCCAACGAGGCAGGGCGGAATCCGTGATCTGCTCTAGCTGTGTTTCCTCAGATGATTGTCACCCTGATGTATCCAGCCGTTTTCAAGGCCGAATCCGTATTTCCATTTTTTTTTTCTTGTTTTCTTTTTCTGAAATCTGACAATCTGAATCCGCGATCTGCTTGAGCTGTGTTCCCTCAGAGGATTGTAACCCTGATCACACTGGCACTTACGGRAATGTATCTTGCCATTTTCACGGCCGAATCCCTGGTCCTGTTTTTTTTTTTTTTTTTTGAGTTTCTGGAATCTGACAACCTGGCCACGGGGCTGAGATGCCCTCACTGAGGGCACACTCACACTAACACTTCCAAGAATGTATACAGCTGCAATCACGTCCAGAGCTTTGTTTCTTTTTCTTGTTTTGTGAATTTTCACGTCCGCAACTTTTTTTCCTTTTTTTTTTTTTTTTGTTCTTCCCGTGAGAGTACCATAGAGAAATGGAGTGGGACCCAGGCTCGGCAAAACTCGGAGCGCAGTGAAAATCAGGGTCGACAAAAACAGGCTCGGAGGTACTGGTGGTTTAAAGAATATTTAAATTTGCACAAGTAAAAACGGATAAAGTTTAAGCAAGTTTAAACTTTAAACATTAAAAGTTAAAACATAATTTTGATAATTTCATGAAATTTAATCGGGAGAATTTAGCATCATTACGAGGTCCCTAAGTAAGTAGAAGATCAATGGTAGTAGGAAGATATACAATTTGCGGGAAGATTCAACCTTTAATCGCCATAAAAGATGCGTTTTGCAAAAAGTGAAAGTTCGATGCAGTTGCAGTTTGAATGTGGCCGTGCTCAGGCCCGATCTGCCTTAATTGGCACGGTGCCTGGCTGGCCCTTACTTCCGATAGGCTTGATAGGTCATTAGATTAGGTTAGGACTAACCCTAATTAGCGTTAATTAGGTTAATCGTGATTAGCGATTCCCTAATTTGAGCAGTACGAAGCAAAGTCGCAAAACCTAAAATTATAATTCAAACGACCTAATTGCTATGTACGTACGAGAAAAGAAAAAAATTTGCAACTTGCGATTTAATGATAACAAAGTACAAGGTCTAGATAATTAATCAATCAATCAATCAATCAATCAATAATCAATCAATGGTGAGTCATCCAATGCTGGTCTGCTCCGATACCAAACTGTTGCATACTTGTGAAACACAGTCATAAGTATGGCGCAGATTCGCAGAACCGACCAGATAATACAGAGTTAATACAAGTACAGCAGAAGAGTTGATACCCATGGACTGACTCTGACCTGACTCGGACTGCAATCGAACACTCTCAATCATACATCAGGGGTGTGAAAGCCCTGGCCTTGG